TTTCTCCACCTTGTTGAGAAGCTCACCACATCCACCCAGTGGCTCATGCCAGAAAACTGGAGTCCTCCTGACTCCACTCTCTCTCCTTCACCTTCGACACCAACCCTGCCCCCAAGGTCTGTGGGTTTTATCCCCACCTGGAGGTATGCTTCTCTCCTGCTAGATGCACAGCACTAGGATCCGGACTCAGAGACGGAGGGGAGGATTGAGAAAAACATCCAATGTAACCGGTTTCCTCATACAGGTAGTAGGAGGCCGTTAAGTGTCATGGCCAAAAGGGTGGATTCCAAAGATGGACTTCCCGGGTTCAAATCCCAGCTCTGCACTTAGCAGTGTGCTCCTGAGGTCCAGGTGCTTCACCTTGAGTGCCTCAGTCTCCTCACGGACGAAATGGGAATAAAAATAGTGCCTATGTCATGGGGATGTTTTAGAATTAAAGATGTTAAAATATGTGAAGGACTTAGAATGATATCCTGTATAAATGGTGGAGGTTGGTGGAGAAGCACTAAAAATCCTAACAGCAGCAGCCACTTTCCGTGTCCTCTGAAGGGTCTTAACAACCTCTGTCCTTGGTGCTTTATAAATCCTCCTTATAAAGCCTCCCCATTTTACAGATGGGGAAGCTGAGTCTCACAAACTAGCGCGACCTTCCTGAAGCCACTTAGTCGGAATGGCTCTGCCATGATTTTTTCCAGTATGTCTCTCAAGGTGGCCTGAGACAATTTTGAGCACCTCTTGGGTTTTTTGAAGGTTCTTCCTGTACCCACCTGGAAGTCTGGCTCTTACTGCTGGAGATGAGCAGAACCAGGCTCCTGCTTCCTCTGGACCAGGTGACTGAAGCCAGGGCACTTGGCCCCGAACTCCTCTCTCGGTTCAGCCTCCTCAGTCCCCTAAGGAATGGCTTCATGATCTATGGACTGTGTGTCACTGTGCTTGAGTGTCCTGAGGGTGCATTTCCCTGTGACCTTGTGCTGTAGTCAAGACTCACTGGGCGTTTTCCTGGGACCCCGTAGATGGGATGTGTGAGAAGGAGCCTAGTAAATTCATGTCTGCTGCAGTTATAGAGGGTCTCTGTTGTTCTGGGGCTCTGGCTACTTATGTACAGCATCAGTTAAGTTTTCAGGTCCAAAAACAGAACTTTGCACTTATTCCTTTAAAACTCTACCTCCTCTGTTCCAGGTGAAGGACCAGAAACTCATCTACTTGTAGGAGGCCAGGCAGGTGACCTAAATAAGAGAACTGGACAGGGTCCAGGGAATGAATGACAGCACACCTGGGCCGCAGAGTGGGTGAGATACGAGGGCGGGTGGGAACCGTTGTGGGTGGGGAGCCCGTGTGTGCCCGGTACGAGGTGAGCAGATCGTCGTACCCCACACTGTAGGCTCAGGGTCGACAGATCCGCAGCTGGAAACGTAGGTCGTTAATGCAAAATCGGCTCATTTTTAAAACGTGCTGACTCATTTAAACAAATAAGCAACACGATCTTGACCTAACCAAACACGTCTGCAGTCAGATGCAGTTCCCTGGCCAACGAGTGAAAGTCTGTTTTAGGCCGATGAGGGTGTTTGTGATTCTTATTGTTGCGTGGCACGTGGTGCCTCGTCCTTTGCTCGTTTCGGCCACAGTTGCAATCAGTGGGTCTGCAGGGTCCACAGAGGATCCTGGGAAGACATGCTTGTGTGACCTTAAGCAAGTTATAGAACTCCTCAGAGACTCTGCTGACCTTTATAGCAGCAGCCTTGCGAAGCCGCTGTGGTGGTTGAACTTGCAGTGTTTTTCAGAGCGTGAAAGGTGTGCTCCATCCAGGGTTTCAGTAAATGTGAATTTCTTTCCCGTCAATTTGCATTCCTTCTCTTTTCCAAATTTTGGAGTAAAATTTAAAAAAGAGCTGAGAAAGGCCGAGAACCCTGGGGTTTATCCCTAGAGACCTCTTTCCGGGGAGACACGGCACATCTCCCAGGCATCCTGACACCTAGCCCTCTGTCTGGGTTTCACGTTTGTTTGTGTTGGTCTTGTTCAGACTTGGCTCAGGTCTGGAGTTGCACCTGGCAGTCTGGCATAGAGGGAAGAGTGAGCGCCGCAAGAGAACGGGTTCCGAATCCTGGCAAATGCCAAGGTCCTGTAGCCAGAGAGCATTTGCTGTGTTTAAAAAAAAAAAAAAAAAAAGGCAAGGAGGGTAGGGTGCTGATGAGAAGCAGGGTGGCTGAGCTGTGCGCATGTGGTCATTATAGAGACTCTGCGGCATCGACCGTATGACTGTAAGCTTTTTTTATTTTTTTAGTTTGAAACAATACACATTAAATATTCAGTATAATGACTAATTATAAGACGAACTACCATGTAACCATCACTCAAATCCAGACCGAGAATGTTGCCAGCTCCCAGAAGCTTCTCCTGTATCCTCCCAGTCACCCCTCCTCCCTTACCAACCAGGCCTTCACTTTTCTTTATAGTTTGACCATCTATGTACACAGAGGGTTTTTTTTTTTTGCTTTTGTCACTGAATAATAGCTCAGGAAATTTCTCCAATTCAGTTGACACAGATAGTCTACTACGCCCTTTTTACTGATTGCATAATAACCCATGGTGTGGCTGAACCAAAGGTAAATCACCTATTCTGCCTTTACTATGTTTCCAGTTTTTTGTTTTGTCAGTTAGCCACTGTGAACATTGAGACAAAGGGGCCTCATTCTTGCTGTATTATTACAAAAGCATTACCTGCTTACTATAACAAACTCAAAGAATGTAAGTGAGGAAAAAAAATGTTCTGTCCTTCCTTCTCCCAAATCTTGAGGTAACCAGTGTTAACCGTCTAGTGTATTTCTTTTTACATCTTTCCTATGTATGTATATATCCATATGCACACTTATATACATAAGTTTACGTACAGTTTTTTAAGCAGAAATAGGACCACACGATGCACGTTGTTCTGCAGCTTGCCTTTTCTCTTTACTGTGCTCTGTGCAGCTGTCTCATCAGTACACGTGGGTCTGTTCCATTCTCTTTTGATGGCTGCCTGGTGTTCCAGACAGTGGCTGCGCTGTCGTTTCTTTAACCCAAGTTCCCTACTGGTGGACAGGAGGGCACTTCCAATCATCCAGAATAGAAATGCCCCTGGACCTGCATCTTTGTGCACCAGTGCTACTGTTGCTGCAGGGTGAGTTCCTAGAAGTGGAATTCCTGGGTGTGCACATTGAACATTTTAATAGATTGTGTCATATTATCTCACCAGCTGCATCCTGGTTTTAGAGGGAACACTGAATGAAGTCTCTGCTGTGAGTGTTGAATCTCTTAAAGATTTCTAGACTCAAAAATAGTCACAGCGTCACAGAATCTGGGTTTTAATGATGATCAGGCACGTGCTTTAGCTCTGCCCTGTCTTTTTCTGCTTCTGTGCTTTTCACTCATTCATGAACTTTTAATTATTTTAATAAATACATGTTTGAGTTTTTAAATTATGAAATATTTCAAACATAAAAAGCAGAGCATAGAAAATAATATAAACCGTACCTATGCACCATGACCCAGTTTCACCAGCTCTTAGCATTTTCTTCATTATATTTGCTAGAGATCTCTTTTTATTAAATGTTATAGACACGGCTATAAAGCCCTCTGTCAGTTCTCCCAGAAATAGCCATTTCGTGATGAAGATGTGCACCCTTCTCTCTCTCTCTTCTTTTTTTTTTTTTTTTTTTTGGCCGCATTGGGTCTTCGTTGCTGTGCACGGGCTTTCTCTAGTTGTGGTGAGCGGAGGCTACTCTTTGTTGCAGTGCACAGGCTTCTCATTGCAGTGGCTTCTCTTGTTGCGGAGCACGGGCTTCAGTAGTTGTGGTGTGTGGGCTCAGTAGTTGTGGCTTGCGGGCTCTAGAGCGCAGGCTCAGTAGCTGTGGCACACGGGCTCAGTTGCTGCGCAGCATGTAGGATCTTCCTGGACCAGGGATCAAACCCGTGTCCCCTGCATTTGGCAGGTGGATTCTTAACCACTGTGCCAGCGGGGAAGTCCCTACCCTTCTCTCTTATGTCTTACACTTTTCATACCCTGGGGTAGCTGGAATAACAGATACACATGACAGTTGGTTTGTGTCTTTTATTTATTTATTTTCTTTTTTAAAAATTTCTTTCTTTTATTTATTTACTTTTGGCTGTGTTGGTTCTTTGCTGCACGTGGGCTTTCTCTAGTTGCGTCGAGCGGGGGCTACTCTTCGTGCTGGTGTGTGGCCTTCTCATGGCGGTGGCTTCTCTTGTTGCAGAGCATGGGCTCTAGGACCATGGGTTTCAGTAGTTGTGGCACGTGGGCTCAGTAGTTGTGGCTCGCGGGCTGTAGAGCATAGGCTCAGTAGTTGTGGTGCACGGGCTTAGTTGCTCTGCGGCATGTGGGATCTCCCCGGACCAGGGCTCAAACCCGTGTCCCCTGCATTGGCAGGCTGATTAACCACTGTGCCACCAGGGAAGCCCCGGTTTGTGTCTTTTAAATAAAAAGTCGTTACCATTTGTATAAAATTTCAAACTTTTGCCACCTTTTCTGTGCTTAGCATTTCTTGAAACTAAGCTTTTAATTTTGGAATAATTTGGATATACAGAGGAGTTGCAGAGATGCAGAGTTCCCATGTGCCTTTCTCCTACGCTCCCATCTTATGTTACGTGATGAATTTGCCCAGACCAGGAAATTAACATCAGTGCATGGCTCTTAACTAAATTTCAGACATCATTTGGATTTTACCAGCTTTTCCATAGATGTTCTTTTTGTGTTCCAGGATCCGTCCAGAGCAGCGCGTTGCACTGGGTTGTTTTGATTTATTACTATGTGTAGGTCTATCTTTTTTAATTGGTGGAGAGGGATCCGTGGATGAGGAGAGCCAGTTTGCTCAGCTCCTCCAGTGATGGACGCGCACGTCGATCCTCTTTTCCTTCTGCAGGTGTGAGCTGCCCCACAGTCAGCCTGGGTGGGTGTTTCTCATGGGTGGATGGACTCTGAGAGGTGGAATCGCCTGGGGAAGGAGTGTGCGTTTCCAGTGGCATTGGTGATTGCCACGTCACTGTCCAGGGGCCTTGTTCTGCCTGTTGGCTGAGTCCCCCCTTGGCCAGGTACTGAATGCTGCAGATGCAGAAGTGAGAGGGGGACAGTTAGCCATTTAGTAGGTCTCAAAAAATCATGGCCAGAAGCCTCCTTGTTAGCAGTGCAGGGACTTCAAGAAGACCTACTGCTGTGTAACAAAGAATTGGACCGGTCTTTGTCCCTGGTTCCTGGGAAGGAGAATCGAAATCTTTGGAATTTCCCAAGTAAAATAAGTGTCCTTATTATGTAGAGCCGTTTGGATCACACCTGAGTTTATACTAATGAGATGAGATGACTCAGGATGGGGCTGGTCAACAAAAAGCCAGACTTGGGGTTGGGATGTTAAAACAGCCTGACCTCCAGTGAGAGAAGAGAGGAAGGGGGGTTGGAGACTGTGTTCAATCATGAGGTCTACGTTCAATCAATTATGTCCATGTAATGAAACCCCAGTTTGAAAAACTCCGGACACCAAAGCTTGTTGGCACTTCCTGGTTGGTGAACATGCCGATGTGCCAGGAGAGTGCTGAGCCCTGATTCCCCAAAGGGAAGGGATGGAAGCTCTGTGTTTAGGACCCTCATAAACCTTGCTGTACCTCTCTCTTCATCTGGCTCTTCCTGAGTTCTGTCTTTTATAGTGAAACTGTAATCATAAGTATATAAAAAAACATGGCACGTCCACCCACCAGGGGCACAGCACACTCCAGAGGACCCCAGAGGGATCCGGCTAGTGACGGTGGGTGACGGTGGACAGGGATGAGAAAGGTGCGGGGATGGGGCTCCAGGCAGGTGCAAAGGCCGTACAGGTGTGTGTGCCAGGCAGGAGGAATGACTGAAGGTACAGATGTGGAGCTGGTGTGATCAGAGTGTACAGGTGGGAGAGGTGAGATGGGCAGGCACTGGGGGCCATGGAGGCTCCAGGGAGCACATGCCGTGTGTCTGGGCAGCGTCCTTCTGTTCCTCACATCCAGGAGCTGAGGAATGACTGAAGGTACACATGTGGAGCTGGTGTGATCAGAGTGTACAGGTGGGAGAGGTGAGATGGGCAGGCACTGGGGGCCATGGAGGCTCCAGGGAGCACATGCCGTATGTCCGGGCAGCGCCCTTCTGTTCCTCACATCCAGGAGCTGAGCAGAATGCAGGACACATACGCACATTTCCCTCTTGGGAACACAGCATTGCACATTTCCCCTCGGGGCCTTTGTACTTGCTGTGTGCTCTTCTTGGAATATTCTTCCCCAGACATCTACATGGATCTGCCCTTGCTTCCTTCAAGCTTCAGTGTAGAGAGCACCTCCTCCGAGGAGGCCTCCCGCATCCCTCCTGCTACCCCAGCTTCTCCCGCACCCCGTCACCCACCAGGCCTCACTCTACTTTGTTTTGTTCTTTTTTTGGCTGGACCACACAGCATGTAGGATCCTAGTTCCCCAACCAGGGATCAGACCCTCGCCCCCTGCACTGGAAGCACGGAGTCTTAACCACTGCACTGCCAGAGAAGTCCCTGCTTTGGTTTAATTCTTATAGCACTTACCACCACCAGATATAATACATATTGATTTACCTGTCTGCCTCCTTAGAATAGAATTCCTTGAGGGCAGGGATTTGGTCCACTGGGCCAGGCCCGTGGACCCTCAGCGCCTCTGCCAGCTGGATGAGTGGTTGGGCATTACCCTCATCGTGATGACCTGTGGGTGACAGCAGTGAGCATTTAGCACCAGATCGTGTCCTGCGCACCTCTTTGATGTGAGCTGTCGACTCCTTAAATCCCCGCATCACCTCCGTGAGCCTGACCCTACTTAATGTGTCTCTATTTTGCAGGGGGAATGGGAGCTGGCAGGGTTGTGGGTGGAGTGACCGTGGGGCTGGGACTTAACCCTCTGCTGCCCCGAGCTCCAGTTGGGAGCACAGCCTGGCTCCCTGGCAAATACTGGGAAAGAGGAGGCACGCTGTGGGTTTCCGCCCCAGGCTGTGGAGTCAGACAATCGTTCATGCCCCCGCGCTGGACTCACATCCTCGTGCAGGGAGGTCTCGGGGTGGACCTGCCTGGACTGCAGTGCTTGGGGGACCCTCTTGCCCCAGTCCTGCCCTCTCTGAAAGGGAAGGAAGGCTCTCACCTTCTAGCTCGTTGTAACAGGAACTGCCACCCCCTACCCCGCAACCTTGGTTTGCAAAACTCTGAGCCTCGTGGGGAAATGAAGGGCTGGCTCGCTAACCACAGTACAAACTCATTTGCAAAGGCAAAGCAGGGGCCACAGGGCCCTTCTCTGCCCCCAGCAGAAGGGACCGACATCTGCAGGCTGCTGTCTTGCTGGAACTGGTCATGCCCCGCCGTTGGGCTTGGGAGCCTGGAGCCAGTTACCAGCTGCCGGCTTTCTAGTCTTCCAGCCTCAGTCTTCCCCTCTGTTAAATGGGAGTAATCATAATAATATTGTGGTGATCTGATGCTCAGATGAGGAGATGCACGCAGTGCCTGACGCATTGTGGATGCCGGGAGGCCATTAGCATCATTTCCATGGTGGTGATAGATGGTCAGCATCCTTCTCCCGGCCTCCGCTCCACATAGCAGCTGCTTTTTAGGAATACTCCTCAGGTTAAGCAGCAAGGAGATAAAGGCATATTTCCTGATGCATTCTTTCCTTTTCGAGCAGAATTTGCCATTTTAGTTAACCTTCTGTGAGCAGTCTGATACTGAGCTGACTGAGGGCATCGTGAGGGCCAGACCCCATTCCTGCAAAGCTGAAGAATGAGGCAGAGGCCGGCCCTCCTGCCTTGGGTCTGGTGGGGGAGACCGCGGGTGCCCAGTTAGCTGTAGGGGAGCATGACGGGAGCCGGCACAGGCGGTTGTTAGGCTCCCAGAGGTCCAGGCGTCCGCGCCTGTAACTAACTGTTTGAAGGCTTCTAGTGTGCCATGCTTTCCCGGGGCCTGGGGCCGGCGCCAGGGTTGTAGCGCTAAAGCAGAGGAACGAGTAATTACCGTAAGTGTGATGAGGACCCGGAAAGGGGAAGTTGAGAAGAGGAAGGAAAGCCCTCCCAGAAAGGGGGCATTTGAGCTGGGCCTTGAGCTGAGATGAAGGCTCTTTCCTGCTTCTGGGCTTCCGGAGAGTCTGCTCCTTCCCTGCCTGGAAGGCACTGTGTTGGGGGTTTAAGGACCCCACGAAGGCCCACGGACCCCAGGATGAAATCCCCCTTTAAAGGATGAGGGCTTTACTTCTCTGGAGGGCTTTCTAGGCCGGGAGGGCCGGGTGGGAATGACCAGTGTGTCGTGTGTTCACCGCAGGACTCTGGGGACGGCTTCTGAAGAGCAGGGCCTTCTTTTGCGGTCTGTCCTCGTCCCTCGGAGCCCTTTCCCTTGATCATGGCCCTGTCAGTCACGCCGAGGGTCCTGAGCCGTTTTTCTGGCCAGCACGGCCCAGTGCCTGCGGGAGAAGCCGGAGGGTGAAAAGCTATCTCTGCCTGTCTCATCCAGGGATTGACTTTGGCAGTGAGAGCCCCGAATACGCTTGGCATCTCCCTCCGCCCCCTGAGGCTTGGCTTCAAAGAGAGGAGCTACGTTTAGCCAGTATCTGTCCTGTTCACGCAAGGGTTTTCGGAGAGGCCCTGGGGGGAGCAGCCCGCTCGGAAGTAGAAGTGGGGAGGGGAGAGAGCCAGGCTCCCCGGTTTGGCGGGGCTCTCTCTCTACACCACCACCTACCACATCGCCACCCTGCTGCCTTTGGCATCGAGGCCTGGCCGGGTGGCCCTGAGGGAATGACTTCACCTTCCTGAGCTGAGCCTGGAAAATGGGGGTTTGTTCCCAAGGTTGGCAGAGGATTAAGGAGATGGTGAGGTCAGCTCTGGCACCTAATAAATATTTTGTAAGAAGGGTCTGGTCTGTTTTCCCTCCAACTCAGGTGTTTCTACCCTGGGCTTGACCTTGGCCGGGCTCCGTTTTCTGCTGGCGGAATTGGTTGTTGAGTCCGCCTGGGTGGGTGCTGGAGTGTGCCGGCTCTGGAGCTGGAGCAGCAGGGCTCGCACCCGGGTCACCCAGCCTGCCAGAGCCTGTTTACTCCTCTGCAAAGTGGGGGTGCTGATAACGGTGGCCGCTCACCCCTTAGGGCTGCAGGAGGCACCGCTGAGGTAATGGACACTGAATATTACACTTAGCTGGTGGTCGGTAAACTGTGAACTGTCAGAGTTGCTGCTGTCTGTGTAGGGCTTTCGGAGCCGGGACCCTTGCAAGGGTGCTCCTGAGAGGAAGAATCTAGCAGGACCCAGTTGGCCCAGGGTGAGGTCTGAGCAGCGGGGAGGTCTTTCTTCCCTGTATAGTGATTAAGAGCACAGGCTGGGAACCAGACTGCTGGGGTTCAAGTCCTGGCTCCACCAGTGTGGCCTTGGAAAGTCAGGCATCTCAGTCTCAGTGTCCCCATCTCTGGGACGCAGATGACGATCTCGGCTCGCATCAGAATCCCTGATATGTTGCCTGGCTGTACTAGATGTTTCTGTGAATGTGGCTTCCCTGCCCTTTTGCTCCTCTTTGGTTTCCTCTGAAGCCAAGAGGTTCCTGGTAGAAAGACGAGGACCAGCGTTTTCCATGGGAAGATTCAACATCAGTCAACCTCGAGAATTTTCTCTACACAAACCTGGTCAAAGTTGAGATAATTGTCTGTATTCTCAGAACCTTTCTTTTCCTGTGAAAAAATAACAAGAAAAGAACCATCAGACTCAAAGAATGAGTGTGTGTTTATGTGTAGTGCTGCTGGTTGGACTGAGGTCAGGCAGGGGGAAGATGGGACGAGAGGCTGTTCTCTTGTTACAAGGGGAACCCACGCTGTCCTTCTGCAGGTGCTGAGAACTCAGGCTCCTTGCGGACGTACATAGAAATTGCGTTTTTGGCTGCCGTCCTTGGCCTTTGCAGAATGAGTGGGGCCCCAAGCTAGGCCCCGCCGTGGGTCCCCTGCAGGCCACTTCCTCTGGGTTTCAGTGACTGACTTATCGGCCAGCCCCATGCGCATCTGTTTCTGGTCCGGCTAGAAATAGTATGGATTCCTGGTGGAGGGAGGAGCACAGGGCTGGCTCCTAGAATGGAGAATCAGCCTGTGGGGAGGGGTAAGGGATGCTGTCCCCAGTGTCCCCCAGGGGAGACCATGCTCGGGGCCCTGGCAAAGCACGATTTCCAGGCAGGGCCTCAGGGAGAATATCGGTTTGCTACTAGCATGGTTGGTTTCTTTCTTTCTTGATATTCTGTATTTCTTTTTTTTGTAAATTTGTTTATTTTTTATTCATTTATTTTTGGCTGCGTTGGGTCTTCGTTGCTGTGCACCGGCTTTCTCTAGTTGCGGCGAGCGGGCTTCTCACTGCGGTGGCTTCTCTTGTTGCGCAGCACGGGCTCTAGGCACGCGGGCTTCCGTAGTTGCAGGACGCCGGCCCAGTAGTTGTGGCTCACAGGCTCTAGAGCGCAGGCTCAGCAGTTGTGGCGCGCGGGCTTAGTTGCTCCGCGGCATGTGTCATCTTCCCGGACCAGGGCTTGAACCCGTGTCCCCTGCATTGGCAGGCGGATTCTTAATCACTGAGCCACCAGGGAAGCCCCATACTCTGTATTTTTAATTGAAAATTTCATTGAGATAATTGAAGATTCTTTTGAGATAAATGAAGATTCATTTTACAGGTGGACTGTGCTGTTTCCCCCAGTGGTAACATCTTGCAGAACCGTAGTGTGACATCACGGCCAGGACGCTCCACTGATTCAGTCCACTACCCGACTTACTCAGATTTCCCCAGTTGTCCTTATACTCTGTGTGTATCTGTTTGTTTTGTACGATTTTATCCCATGGGTAGGTCCCCGTATCCCCCGCCACAGTCAAGATATTGGAAGTTCCATCACCACCGAAATCCCTCTTAATAACCACGCCCACCTGCATTTCTAAAATTTTAACACGTCTCATTTTGAAAGGGATTTTTCTTTAATAAGATATAACAAACCTATGGTAAAAGGCAAGCGAGGTGAGCCTGAGCTCAAATTGACACATGTCCAGCTCTGTGGCCACTGTCCCCACGAGGTAACCACCGCTTTGCTTCTGTGTCCTTCTGTGAGTCTTACTATGGTGAACTCGGCCTCACGCCCTCTAACACGCCTGCTTTTGTCCTCTTACAACGCAGAAGCACATGAGGGTTTCCTTTTGGCATCAGCTGGTTTTAGGCAGAATTTAACATTGTCCTGTTTCCACTGACTGCGTTATTTTACAATTCCTATAATGTATGGTGGGCGGGACTGGTTTTCTTTTTACCGTAAGGCATAAACCCATTTTTTTAAAAAAATAAATCTATTTATTTATTTTTGGCTGTGTTGGGTCTTCGTTTCTGTGCGAGAGCTTTCTCCAGTTGAGGCGAGCGGGGGCCACTCTTCATCGCGGTGCGCGGGCCTCTCACTGTCGCGGCCTCTTCCGTTGTGGAGCACAGGCTCCAGACGCGCAGGCTCAGTAGTTGTGGCTCACGGGCTTAGTTGCTCCGCGGCATGTGGGATCTTCCCAGACCAGGGCTCGAACCCACGTCCCCTGATTGGCAGGCAGATTCCCAACCACTGCGCCACCAGGGAAGCCGCCCATAAACCCATTTTTAAAATACATCTGTTCAAGTGAAAAAGGTGAGTTGATTTAAAGATAAATATTAGACAAACAGTGCCAGCACCATGCAGGTACGGCTCACTTGACAAAGTTGATAATCAAATGACTGACATTTGAGAAAGTGTCAGAAGCACATATGACTCCAAAAAACCCCAAACCAAAAACTGGTTGATCCAGTGGGGGAAGTATCTATATATAGCCTTTGTACAACGAAGGCCTTCTGTGTAATTTTGATTCACAATACTGGTCTAAGGCAAAGCAAATTAAAATTTTAATAGGCTGGGCGTAAGGGAGTGAGTCCTTCCTTTAATGCCTTAATGATGTTTGAAATATCTGCACAATACCTGTTTTATATACCTAATACGTATTTTAAAATGGACTCTTTTTAACTTAAATTTGTAGAGAAGGAACTTTGATCTCACAGTTTAGAGGCTGCTAGATCTGTATTTTCCCAATTCCTATTAAAATACGTCACAATTAAGACATAAAAAAAAGGTAGCTACTCTTATTAAAGTCCTCTCCCATATCACACGCATGGGATGATTCTCATTTCATTTCCAGCAGGAGGGAGGAAACATGAAGTTTAAGTGACACTGAAACAATGCATATTTAAAGAATTATATTTGATGGTTATTTAGTGCTTGGGGTTTCAGCTGACCAGTTCATAAGACTCCTCTTTCTCTCATGTTCTCTTGAGTTTGGAAACAAGAACTGAAACACAGGTAACTCATAACTGGCTATGAGAAGGTTTGCTCTGTGTTTGAGCTGCCTTAAGAGTCTGGTTTAGAATTGACCTCTGGCCC